AAAAACCTCCCCGAACCCCAGGACCCCCTCCCCCCCCCCCATTTCACCATGCCCCGGGGGAGGGGGCCCCCATAGAATTTTCCCAAATGCCCCAACTATACCAAATAATTTCCCCCCCAAAAAAATAAACCCCACCGAGCGGGCCCCCCTCGGAGTAACAACCAACCCCCTCCCCCCCTCCTTTTCCCCCCCCCGGAAAATAAACACCTCTCCCAAACCACCCCAATTTTTAAATTTTTGATTTTATGGGCCCCAATTTTTAAACTTTTACCCCCCGATTTTTTATGGCGGGCCCCTTTCTTTCCCCCAAGGCCCAAAAAACAAACCGTTCCTTTTTCAAAAACCCCCCCCCCAAAACGCCCCCAACAAACCCCCCCCTTTTTGCCCCCCCCCCCCTTTTGTAAAAACCAAAAAAAAAAAAATCGAACGGGGGGGGTGGGGGGGGGGGGTTGATATCTTACGTCACCTAAGGCAGGCACCGTGGCTCGCCTGGGACCGCTCTCCCGAGCACTTAAGTTAACAAGGAAAAAGAGCAGGTAGGGCGTACGCAGACCCTAACTCTCCCAATTTCCCCGATTGCACGCGTTATCCAACATGTTTGCCTGAGAACAAAAAACTGCGAAGGTTACTGCTCGCTCCCCTGCAAGGGGGTTCCAGTAAGCAGAAGGCGGTTCCTAGAGTGGTACATGGTGCCCAGCGTCTGCGCGAACTTGCTCTGAGCGTTCTTCATCCGGTGGCCCTCGTCCACGATGATGTACTGCCACTCTGTCTTTCGCAGGGTGGCCTTGTCCTGCAGGGGCAGGTGGGTGGGGGGGGGGGTATCACGTGCACGGTCTACGTGGTCTTCAAAACGCAGATAGGCGGGGGGGGGATACTGAGACTAGTATCACGTGCACGGCCTACATGTTCACAATGGTATCCAAAAACGCAGATATGTAGGCGGCGAAATAAAACTATACCGGGTTGGTTTGGGAGATGTCGGAGATGTCTGGGTGTTTCGTAGACATCTCCAAGGAGCATGGGCAATACAGTACAAGTAGCGGGTTGAAAAGATAGCGAGTGACACGAGACGCTACTCTACGAACATCGGAAAGGTCGGAAAGCGTCCGTGTACGAGCAGTCATTTCCGATGCCAGCTATCAAGCAAGGAGAGCAGCATTAACAGCAACAGCATACACCAGCAACATAAAAAAAAATCCTGACACCGTGAGACGGAACAGGGCCTCGACACATGTGAGCAATGGCTCTTCCATTTACACGAGCCTTGGCGTTAAAAGTCCAGCAGCAGGAACGATGAGCGGAGGTGCTGCAGGTAATCACAATACATCGTGCTTGTCGCGGCTGCAAGACTTCGAACATAATCCCGCATGGATGTCGGAGAGGATCTTGAGTTTCGGACGTTGACCGCCCCGCGTTCGGGCGGTCAACTTCCGAAACTCAAGATCCTCTCCGACATCCATGCGGGAGATCATGATCGAAAATCTTGCGGACTCGACAACCGCGAGACATGGCGATTGCCTACCGCACCTCCGCTCCTGGTTTCCGGTGAGACTACAGAACGCCAAGGCTCGTGTAAATGGAAGAGCCATTGCTCACATGTGTCCACAACACTAAAACCAAACCACCAAATACAACACCCACAACAGCCACCAATACCACGTCCTACACAACAACATAGACCCCCCCCATCCCCCCCCCTCGGTGTTTGCCATCGGGGTTGGGTTTTCGTCGCTTGACAACGACGTTGTAAGACAAGCCAATCACTTCGTGAGCTCGGCAACCAGGTTGTTACCGCTTGTTTGTTGCCTCTGTTTTTTTTTTGCCGTAACCATAATCGTGGTCGAGTAGATCACGTTGTGCGGGGTCGAGAACCCTCACTCCGCGTAAGGGGGATAATCGCACCACGGTGTGTTAAATTGGTAAAGCACCCTCGAGGCAGCTACACAGTGCTTGTAACTGTCTCTGGAATGAAAGGACCAGAAAAAAAAAAGTCAACATGTATGCACTGTCATCCGCGCCCCCCCCCCCCGGTGTTTGCCATCGGGGTTGGGTTTTCGTCGCTTGGCAACGACGTTGTAAAACAAGCCGCCTCCCCCCGATGTTTGCCATCGGGGTTTGGGTTTTCGTCCCC